AAAACATACTCTTTTCTGTGACTCCACCCCGCCCTCCCTTGAAAGATCAAACAATAAAATGTTGATTTGTGTCATTTTCAGATCAACATTTTACATTTTTTACAACAGAGTACTTATGCCTACACATCCAACACCCCACCCTGAAGCATATGTTTTGTACTCGTTTGAAAATTATGGATATGTTATAATTGAAATGATGAACTACATACCAGGTCTAAACTCCTCTCTAGCTTCATTAATTTTGATCTCAGTTTCAGCAGCAACTACAAGTTTCTCAGTGACCTCTTCTGCAGTCACTTTAGTGACACCAAGTACAGAGATCAAGGATTCATCTTCCACTAGAGATCCCTGAGTGCTGGTGAGACGGAAGAGAAGGTTGTCTTCCAGTTCTTTCATCTTGCGTTTGTTGGCTGTCACATCTTCCATTAGTTTGATGCGTTCTGATTCTAGCTCTTGCTTCTCAGTGAGGATGACACGGCCCAGAAGCTGATCCTCAAGTCCTTTCATGGTGACAGTAAAATCGATGATTGATGTTCTAGCTGATACCTAGAGATGAGTTGATGAAAATAGTTAATTAAATATTAAAATAATTAGGAAATATTAGGCATGCAAGTTTACTATGATATTCACCTGAATTACTGTTAATCTTACCTCTGGTGTATATGTTGGGTTTGCCAGTTTGGTTGTGACATACAACTTAAATCCATTCATCACATCTACTTCTTTGTCACCAACTTTAACCTGCAACAGAATGAATAATGCAATAGTGGTAGTATTAGATGTAGTTGTAATGGTGACAATAAAAGTAATAAAGTGGCTGTAGTACAGTAGCTGCATTACATTAACAGTAGTACAGTGGCAGCAGTATAGTAGCGGCAATAAAGTAACAATCATAAATTTAACAGCTGCACAGTAGCAGCATATTAACAGGTTTTTATAGAAGCAGCATTACATTAAAAGTAGTACAGTGGCAGCAGTATAGTAGCGGCAATAAAGTAACAATCATAAATTTAACAGCTGCACAGTAGCAGCATATTTTTACAGGTTTTTATAGTAGCTGCATTACATTAAACATAGTACAGTGGCAGCAGTACAGTAGCAGCAGTAAAGTAGCAATTATAAATTTAACAGCTGCACATTAGCAGCATATTAACAGGTTTTTATAGAAGCAGCATTACATTAAAAGTAGTACAGTGGCAGCAGTATAGTAGCGGCAATAAAGTAACAATCATAAATTTAACAGCTGCACAGTAGCAGCATATTTTTACAGGTTTTTATAGTAGCTGCATTACATTAAACATAGTACAGTGGCAGCAGTAAAGTAGCAATTATAAATTTAACAGCTGCACAGTAGCAGCATATTAACAGGTTTTTATAGAAGCAGCATTACAGCGGCAATAAAGTAACAATCATAAATTTAACAGCTGCACAGTAGCAGCATATTTTTACAGGTTTTTATAGTAGCTGCATTACATTAAACATAGTACAGTGGCAGCAGTATAGTAGCAGCAGTAAAGTAGCAATTATAAATTTAACAGCTGCACAGTGGCAGCAGTATAGTAGCAGCAGTAAAGTAACAATTATAAATTTAACAGCTGCACAGTAGCAGCATATTAACAGGTTTTTATAGTAGCAGCATTACATTAACATTAGTACAGTAGCAGCAGTTAATAGTAGCAGCAATAAAGTAACAATTATAAATTCAACAGCTGCACAGTAGCAGCATATTAACAGGTTTTTATAGAAGATGCATTACATTAACAGTAGTACAGTGGCAGCAGTAGAGTAATGGCAGTACAGTTAAAGAAGTAACATTGGCAGTATAAGTGTCACTAACACCATAAGATGTGCAATGTGGTTTAACACACATTTGAATTTTATTTTATCAGGAGTAATATTATATAATAGCAATATTTATTAATTTATTTATTTTTTATTTATAGCAGTAATGTTGCCATCAAAACCTTCAATGTTCTGCCAGACTTGATAAAGTTCTTCTCCAGTACATTATCAAGAGCAGGATCAAGCTCTTCCCCAATATCCTCAATGAGCAGTGGCCGGCCAAGTGACAGACTGTCCTCCAGATGGCTCCGGAAGTACTTGTGATTTAAGGAAGTAACCTGAATAAGAAAGAAAACTAAATAAAACAAACCTATTTTGTGTTGAATACATAACTCAGTATTTATTTTATTCACTTCCACAGTCATCAATTAAATATTTGTGTAAATTCAATTGCACATGAAACATAATAAGAATATGTATATGTTTTGATTTGCAAAAAAAACCAAAAAACATGCAACATATAATAAAATATATAATAGTTGTATAGTATATCAAATGGTATTTAAATTATTATGAACTAAGAGTAGAAAATGTAAATACTGTTGACCTGTAATTCAAACTGTTGCTCCCTGTTCTTGATCCATGTTTTCCCTTGACCTTGTGGATCGATAAGAAGTGGATAGCGTGTTGCCTTGGTAACAATGATTCCATTTTGAACAGATAGTTCATCATTTGGTAATCCTTGAAGATTCCATTCTCCAATCTGCAAATTGGACAGAAAACAATAATTCAATTTTGCCTATCATCACCACCACCATCAACACCACCACTACCAACATTGTCATAACCATCATAAACTTTACAACTATCATCATAACAAACACCAATATCATGTATATTACGAAGACCATCAACATCATCAAGCATCTATATCTTCAGCAAACACCATCACACCACCATCAACATAATTTATGCATTATTGTTTCACTAACATAAACACCATCAGCAACCATATCCATTTTCTTCAAATAAGTCTATTTATCAGCAATTGTCAACTCACCGTGGGTCCATCCACTAACATAGATGATATGTTAAGATTTGTTGTGAAAGGAATTTTGTTGGTGCGGAGTTCTTTTTGCCAGTTGCCGTTGAGATTGATTCTGAATACTTGATTGAATGGACCAGAATAAGATAAGAAACCGGTTGCTAGAAGTACATCACCCACCAGTCTACAAGAATATTGCATATTATACTGTGTCATTGAAACTTGCAAAATGAGGAATGAATAAGCTGAAATAGGTGTTTTGGGCGATAAATAATTTATTTTTATTATTCTACTTTGAATTTCCAAAGGGGGAAGGGGGCCCGGGGATAATTAAAAATTAAATGTTGACTCAATTATGAACCTCATAATTGTCAACTTCTGGAGTTGAACTGATCAATCACAGCAAAGCCAGGAAAATGTGCTTGTTCCACACACACAGGTTGTCTGACAAACACGCATTAACATAGGACTACGCTGCCATTTTGTGGGACTGTAGCCACAATATCTAAGTGGTCGGGCTTGGTCCATACTCATATTCCAGTTGATGACCTTAGTTTAAAAAATCTGGGTGATCAATAACAAATCTCTGAGGATATATTCCAAATCTATTAAGGTGTAGAAGATGACTGAGTTAAAAACTAAGATGTGGAATCATCATCATACTTACAATAATACAGAAGCTGAAACAATGTGAAAACCAACCTATTAATCTGAGATTTGAATTCTTTGCTTTGTTCTGTCCATCTAACTTTCTCTCCACCAAGACCATTAATGAGAGCAGAGGCTGCGACCATCTTACGACGACAACTCTCAGCATCATCAAGGAGATCCTGCCAACAAATTATTACAAGTGTATTGAATTTATTTTTGCAAAAAAATGAAGCTTTTAAACCGTGATAAATATTATATCTATATACAGTAAGATGGGGTGTTCGTAAATTGAAAAATTTGTACACTAGATCGGGTGTCAGTTTCCTATACCTAGGCCTAGTTATCCTCTGCCATTGAGCGATGATAGGCTGACGGCGGCCAGGCCTAGCACGAACCAACACTGCGTGGTCTACCGCGCTAGAGCCTAGCTGAATTTACCTTTGATAAAAACTAAATTATGTTAATTGCTGGCATTCATCCACTTAACAAAATATTTTTTTAACTCTTATTCAAACATCTGAATGTCTTATGGACCTTTCTATCATGTTCTTTCCAGTTGTTAGATCGCTGAATTGTGTTGTTGACATGCATTTCGCGATCATATCTAGCATGCACAATGTCAATAATTTGCTGACCCCAACGCTCTCTTTAGTTATCGTAAACATGTGCGCTCAATCCAATGACAGGTGTTGGTAGTTCGTTGTTCTGGTTAGGTTTATAACAATAATATAGTGATTATTATACCAGAAATGGAAGAAGAGATCGAACTGTTAATAAATAAATACAACAAACCTGATTTTATTAAGAAAAATATACATTATCAATTTGTAAAATGTGCACAATCAGACGTTTTTACGGTAATAATTGGTCGATGATGACATCATCAGGGGCGAAGACCATTCGTAAAATTGACTATTCGTAAAATCGACGTTCGTAAAATGGACGTTTTACTGTACTGTGCATTTGATTTGATTTAGTATATTTTGATACCATATAAGGCTTGCCATCCCAAACCCATCATCAGTGACCAAAAAATGAAAATTTACTTTTTAACATACAGTAATAGTAATATTCTCCACAATATAAGCTTTAAAATGATGGGTCATTTAATGGAATCTAATAATA